CCTCTGCTTTTTGTTACTGATTGTAGTCTTGATTATGAAGACAGCAATTTCTACCATCGTGAATGGAATTCTGTGAATCTATGCTGAACAGCTTAGCTGTCTAGATGTAGTTAATGATATTCCTCTCCCCCCGTGTGGGTTCCGGGGCCCCATTGTGGGGAAAACAAGAATAGACCTACTGCCTCCCCAAAAGCATGTCATAAGAATCAACAAATTGGGGAGCTTCCTTTGAAGTCGGAGTGCATCTGCCGGAGAGGCAAGGAACCAACAGTCTGTAATCAAGGGAATGAGATCTGTAAAACTGATGCACACGCAACACTCAGCTTCTGGAGCAGGACTGCAGTTCAGTAGTGGACGAGCAAACAGAACCTTTCGCCAGAGTTTACAGCTGGTGAACGCGAAGAAGAAGAAGAAATTTCTCTCCTATACCACTCACAAAATCAGATGCAAGATACATGTACTTAACGAGAGATTACAACAATGAGGTCTCAAAAACAATAGTAGGATTACGAAGATAATGAGAACAACAAAAATACATTCATTGTCCTGCTGTGCCATTATATTTCACAAAGGGAACCAGTCTATTTCTCCATTCTGTTCCATCCTGTGCCATTATGTTTCACAAAGTGACTCAGTCTATTCCTCCATTCCGCTCCATCCTGTGCCATTATATTTCACAAAGGGACCCAATCGATTCCGTTCCATCCTGTGCCATTATATTTCACAAAGGGACCCAATCGATTCCGCTCCATTCTGTGCCATTATATTTCACAAAGGGACCCAACTGATTCCGCTCCATCCTGTGCCATTATATTTCACAAAGGGACCCAATTGATTCCGCTCCATGCTGTGCCATTATATTTCACAAAGGGACCCAATTGATTCTGCATTATCCTGTGCCATTATATTTCACAAAGGGACCCAGTCTGTTCCTCAATTCCGTTCGATCTTGTGCCATTATATTTCACTAAGGGACCCAGCCTATTCCTCGATTTCGTTCCATTCCGTGCCATTATATTTCATAAAGAAACACAGTCTCTTCCTTCATGCCATGCCATTTTATTTCATAAAGGGACCCAATCTATTCCATCTTGTACCTTTATATTTCACAAGGAAACCCAGTCTATTCCTCCATTCCGTTCCATCAATTCAATAACATGGATGGAATCCAGTCAAGAACCTCTAGCCTGTTCGTTGTAAGATTATTCTGGACGTCCTCACTTCCTCAATCCCATCTTAGTGAGTGTAATGAGGTAATAATTCAATTTCTCATGGTGATATCCCACTCAAAGGTATGAAGTCAAAAACACAGGTTCCAGGCTGATTTAAACAATGGAATGGGGGGGGGGGGGGGGGGGGGGGGGGGGGGCGTACACCATTTAGTCCTCAGTGGCAAACTACTGGACCTAAACTTCTCTAGTAAAATAACAAACAGCCAAAAATTGCTGGGGCTGGTTCTGAAACGTTCTGTAATGGATATGCAAACAACTTTTTAAAATTTGTAATTGTCCCTGATAATTTTGCAATTTCATAAAAGCATTTGTTTCTTAAATGTATATTATTACCATGATTATTTATACCTTGTATGTTATGATTTAGACAGATTAGTCATTGTGACCATTTAAACAATGCTTCCTGCTTGTTCGAGAGCTGTGAGTTTCATGGCTCCCCATGGCTCAGTGTAATGTGTTATTATTGTCTGGGCAGGCAGCAGCCAACCAATAAAGGTTACAGACTCTATGCTCTTCAGCTGAATAATTTACTGTAACTGTGTATTGTGCTGTTATCAAATAGTCTCGGATGTCACAGCATGGATAGACACTTGCCAGCTGGTCCAAAGATCTTGGGTCAAAGCTGCACCAAGGCAGAAATAAAATGACTCCTGGGTTGGCCCAATCTAAATGGGTTCCAGGAAATGTAGTCAAGGCAATGTTGACCAAGTCACCCCTTGAGTGAGAGACATACAGAGTGAGGTGAAGAGGGTGAGGGTAGAGGTGTAGAAACATATTAGGGATAGGTTAAGAGCGATGATAAAGGAGTTGGGGATAGGTGGGCAGTGATGAGGAAAGAGTTGAGGATAGGGGGAGAGCAAAGAGGAAGGAGTTGGAGATAGGTGGAGAGTGGTAAGGAAAGAGAGGGAGAGATGAGGAAAGAAAGGGAGAGATTGGGAAAGAGTTGGGGAAAGGTGGAGAGTAGTAAAGAAAGAGTTGAGGAGTCATGTGGATAGATTGTTGAATGTTGAATTAGGAATCGACATTAAAGCACTCAGGACACTCCCATAAGCGCTCTGTCCCCATCCCCAGCAGCAAGCAAAGAGTTTCAATTCTGATGGCACAAGTAACTGTTCTGATACTGTAATGATCTATCTGTGCCGCAGCACTGTTCACTTGCTCCCAAACGGCCCTTACATCTAGCTTGTCATATATCAGTTCTCCACCAAGTGGTGCAGAATCGGCAAGTCTACCAGCCTGATCATTTCCCAACACACTGGCATTACCTGGAGAGAATTTCCAAAGGATGCTAACTACCCAGGACCTCTAAAGTGATGTGGTAAGGAGCATGTCTGTCTCCACCTCTCTCAACATGCTCTGTGAGTCAACTGCAATCACGGCATGTGTGTACAGGTCATTTTCAAGCCAGCAGAAACTGCTTTCACATCCATTCTCAAACTAGATGTGATATCATATGCCAGGCTTTCCTGCACTAAGCGACATCCATTTGCTTCTGCTATAAATATAAACTTCTATGCACTTTGTCTGCCGCTAAACACAGAGCCATCTGTACAGACAATCACATCGCCTGGCAGAGAATGTCATGAATCATTGTTGAACTTCTGATTCTGCAGCTCTAGCTGGCCAGTCCCTGCATTCACCACCTAAAGTGATAACAACACTACACAAGTCTGAAACTTGCCAGGACACTTTGACTCACTACCCTTCACGTCCAAATTTATCAAGTCTGCACACATGTCTAATTGTGTGTTAACTTTGCACCATTTAAGACCTCTCTTTTTTTCAGTCTGTGACCGTCAGCTCTACCTAGGGCTTCAAGCAGGAGGTGCTTCTTGTCTGCAGCTTCTCTGAGACATGACTTTGCTTGCAGAACTTTGAGCCTATCTGCAATAGTTAGCAGTGCAAGTATATATCACATACATGCTACCGGGGTATCTCTTGTATATCCCAGAATATGGAAGGATACTCACTTTTGCGGATGATATACTTGCATATAGGCAGGGGGAAGAAAGGGAACAAACAGCCCGGGAGCTACAAGCGACAGCAGACAAAGTGACTGAGTGGTGTACAGAAATGAAGGCTGTCGTCCACCTGGAAAAGGGGTCTGTTTTGTGGTGTTCTCTAGACAACAGGATCGTTAAAGCTAATGTTCCAAGTCTCATGATAGATGGTAGAAACATCAACAGAGAGAGCAAACTGAAGTATATGGGAATTACATTTGACAGGAGCCTGTCCTTTAAGGACCATGTGGAGAGAGTTGTGACAAAATTCCCAAAAAAGGACTTGGTGCACTTAAGACTTTGGCTGCAACTGACATAGAGCAGAGAATGTTTTTACACTATATCAGCACCTCACCCTATCAGTGGCTGATTATGGCCTGGGAATGCTTACTGTCTCAAAGAGCCAGATGGAAAAACTAGAGCGCATACAAAACGCAGCAATGCAGGTCAATCTGGGTTGCATCAGAGACACCCCAGTGGTGTGTATGCGATACATCCTTGGTTTGCCAACTGTTCCAGGTAGGCACAAGGTGCTGCAGGCGAAGTCATATCTTGAGGTAGATGCAGACACAGATCACCCTCTGCATGAAGCTCTGGGTGCAGTTAAGGGTTGGCGGCTGATAAGAAAGAAGTCATAGATGGCTCAGACAGAAGACATAATCAGACAGGTTTGCATCCAGTCAGACTTGGGGTTTCTTAGCAAAAGTTAATGGTTGACGTTTGGAGCCTAGCATATGATACCATAACATCCAGCTTAAGAATGGAGGTGGAGGAGGTCACTGCAGATTGATCACCACAGTTTGGTGAGATTGATGCAGTTGGGAGTGACGAGAGCTTTTGGCAGATGCTTTAAGCTAAGAGAAAAGGCAAGACGGACGTTTAATCAGAATGCTACTGGCACCATTATTATCAGAACTCTTCGCTGGCTGCTGAAGATGGGGACGGAACGCTTATGGGAATGCCCCGAGTGCTGTGATGTCGGTTTTTGAATCAAATCAAATCCCAGAATTCTGTATGCGTTTAAGTTTCATCAGCTGACTCTCTGATATCGTAAGCATGTCAAGTCCATAATCTATCAGTGACAGGACAGGATCACATGCTGGAACATTGTAAACAATATTCTTCGTTCCATATCCATTGCTGCCATAATTTTGAGAGCATTAAGTAGAAGTTCCTGAAAAGTACAATAATTTTAGTTTACATAATCAGTTTATTCATACATGCACACACACACACAACATAAAGATAATGTTAACCTCACATATACACTATTTAAGAATATAAACATTAAAAGAATGCTGCAAAAATTGTCAAGAGAACATTACAAAGATAAGGGACATCTTTTTAACAAATATTTGGGTTTTTTGATTTTGTCACCAAGCTTGGCAATGATGTCTCTGATACACATTCTGTATAATAATATACTGCAATAAATCAATAATAAAACCAATCTAATAAAACAGACCAATTTTATAAAACATATCAATGCATCAACAAATCCTAAAAGGTAGTTAAAGATGACAGAGTGACTACATGGTACCACGTTTTATCTGACTGATCTTTGCAGAGTAACTGACTCAGTAAGGTTCCATTAAGATCAAACTCTATGTCTCCAGAGACGACCCCAGTAATCTCCGAATACACTGTCCTGAATGAAAGTCTTAAAATGAACTTACATCCTTAACAGTTGGAGGAAAACTGCTTGATCACTTTCCCATTGGGGACCCTTTAAAACAGCTTAGCAGTGTGTGTTTTTTCTTTCTGTTTTATGTACTTCTACATCCCAGTTCAAAATTTTGTTAATTTTCTGGTACTACAGATTTCATACAAGATAATTTGTTCAACATCCCAGTTTAACATTTTGTTCATTTTCTGGTACTACAAATTTCATACAAGATCATTTGCTCTAGTTTTGTATCCCAGTTTAACATTTTGTTCATTTTCTGGTACTACAGATTTCATACAAGATAATTTGTTTTCTGTGATTCAACATCCCAGTTTAACATTGTGTTCATTTTCTTGTACTACAGATTTCATACAAGATAATTTGTTTTCTGTGGTTTTGTATCCCAGTTAAACATTTTGTTCATTTTCTGGTACTACAGATTTCATACAAGATAATTTGTTTTCTGTGGTTTTGTATCCCAGTTTAATATTTTGTTCATTTTCTGGTACTACAGATTTCATACAAGATAATTTGTTTTCTGTGGTTTTGTATCCCAGTTTAACATTTTGTTCATTTTCTCGTACTACAGATTTCATACAAGATAATTTGTTTTCTGTGGTTTTGTATCCCAGTTTCACATTTTGTTCATTTTCTGGTACTACAGATTTCATACAAAATAATTTGTTTTCTGTGGTTTTGTATCCCAGTTTCACATTTATTTCAGTTGCTAATATCAGTCAAAGGTAAAGGAATCTTCTTCATGCCATGGAGCTTATTGTTAGGAAGGTGCTCATCCCATATTGTTTAGACCAATGGGCTCTTAGTCGATTATTCAGTTAACACCCCACTACCTCGGCTGTCCAGAAAATTTCTTGGTACGCACTGAAGGCTAGATCAATCCTACCAAGTCACAGATAAAGATGCCTATATACCTCAGTTTAAGATAATCTTCCCAACTTTTTGCTACAGACAAACTAACATATTAACCAATACCTGTGGTTTTCTCATTAAACATCATCCATGTTGTAGGACCCAGCCTAACATGGGTACCAGGCAATGTCCTGGGAAGTAAAAGATGGCTTGACGTTGATCCACATCCCTCATCCAGTGCCAACTGGTCTACACAAACGATGAGCCTAGCATCACATGACCAATTCACCACTGGCGTGAAAATAGCCCTCTACTTACATCAAAGCCTGGACAGATATTAGCACAAGAACTGAAACATTCACTCACTCAGCTGGGGAATTAGAGCTATGCATCAACATGGTTCACCATGCCAGTTGCCAGGTCCATGCAGTTGATGGGAATACAAATGTTTCAGATTACACAAGAATTTCACATCAGAAAAATACGTTTTGAACTATAACCAGTTTATCTCATCAGACTATTGCACAATATTCAACAATTTTTTATAACCCACCGAGATAGGACTGTGGGTTACATTGAGACCTGAAATTGGAAACAAACTAATTGGGGAAACATCGACACCTGTAAAAAACCTAAAGATAAATGTTGTTGAGAGGCCTAAAGTGTTCAAGACTACATCCATGATAAGGAAGGGGCTGCCCAAGATAGAAGAAGATGGGAGTTACAGAAAGCCAGCCAAATGTGACCAATAAATGTACAACAGGAGTGTCATGATTAGTCTTTTTCCAACATGGGAATCATTTGTCTCTGAAAGCGATGCACAGGACAGGAAGTTCTGTGTAGCTTCAACATTAACACACAGGGGTCTCTGTCTAGCTTCAACATTAAAACACAGGGATCTCTGTCTAGCTTTAACAATAACACACAGATCTCTATCTAGCTTTAACAACAACACACACAGATCTCTGTCTAGCTTCAACATTAGCATACATGGATCTCTGTCTAGCTTCAACATTAACACACAGGGATCTCTATCTAGCTTTAACAATAACACACAGGGATATCTGTCTAGCTTCAACAATAACATACAGTGATCTCTGTCTAGCTTCAACATTAACATACAGGGATCTCTGTCTAGCTTCAACATTAACATACAGGGATCTCTATCTAGCTTTAACAATAACACACAGGGATCTCTGTCTAGCTTCAACATTAACATACAGGGATCTCTGTCTAGCTTCAACATTAACACACAGGGATCTCTATCTAGCTTTAACAATAACACACAGGGATATCTGTCTAGCTTCAACAATAACATACAGGGATCTCTGTCTAGCTTCAACATTAACATACAGGGATCTCTGTCTAGCTTCAACAATAACATACAGGAATCTCTATCTAGCTTTAACAATAACATACAGGGATATCTGTCACATCATCATGTAGCAGGTCCTTAGCAGAACGTCGCTCTTATCACAGTCTGCCTGAAAGAAACTCGGTCTCTCGCCAGTTCTTCCGCCTCATGCACTTTCACACTCAAGGAGTCATTTATATCCTGTGCCCATCTTCGTGTCGGTCGACCTCTGCCCCTTCCTGGTACCATGCCTTCTGCTATAATTGTTTCCAATCCGTCGTGGCGCTTGATATGACCAAAATATTTCATCTTGCGAGAAAAAATGCTGTTTATTAGCCAATCTTCCTTGATGTTCAGATCTTTTAAGATGTCAATATTTTTCATCTTCTTTGGATATCTCTCTAGCTTCAACAATAACACACAAGGATCTCTAGGTTAGTTGTGTATCCTTTATGCCTACATTCTGTGAATGAACATGTGGTAGTCATTGAATCATTTCTAGATTCTGTGAATGATCATGTGGTTGTTATTATATTATCTCTTGATTCTGTGAATGATCATGTGGTTGTTATTATATTATCTCTTGATTCTGTGAATGAACATGCGGTTGTTATTATATTATCTCTTGATTCTGTGAATGAACATGCGGTTGTTATTATATTATCTCTTGATTCTGTGAATGAACATGTGGTAGTAATTGAATCATGTATAGATTCTGTGAACGAACAAGTGGTAGTCATTAATTAGACTATGTGAATGCAAGTCAAAAAAGCTAAAAACACAACTGAAAAAGAAAAAAAGTTTATGACTGTCTACCAAGTTTTGCAGGAATACTGATACTGAACATCAACAGCTAAAGCAAGTCAGGTGTTTAGGATACTAAGTCTAATTTAATATGTTCAACATACATGTGAGGAATAAAACACAGGTTCAGTAAAGCTGTAGATCTTTTTTTCTTTCCAAAACTGAAAGGTTGACCCAGTAAAAAAAAAAGGTAACAGGTAATGCACGGGGAAGTAAATGCGACCAACATGATACTGACTAAATCATTCACTAAGTCCCGATTAAATATATGAAAATATAGGTCTAGCACTGTATGTGATGACCCAAAAGCATGAAAAGGATTCCTGAATTACTCGGTAAAATACATATGTTACTGACATTACAAGTAGATACATAAGAATAAATATGCTGACATGCTTGCATTAAGAAGCAGCAAAACCAACACTTCCAGTCTGTGCCATGCCACTGTAAATGTATCTTTTTTTTTTTACACTGCGTCGGTTCTGTGGCTAAGTCGATGAGAACGCTTCGTAATGCCTGGGTGCCGGGTTTAATCCCAGCTGCGGGCCATGCGCCTTGTGTTGGTTTCGACAGTGGTATCAAGAAAGTCGACCGTCCAGAAAGCAATGGCAAACTACTGGATGTAAATTTGCCTAGAGAAACCACACAACAGCCAGGGGCTGTTTGGGTTGGTTCTGCAACGTCCTGTAAAGGATGCGCAACAACCTTATAGTGGTCTGTTTAGGAGAAGCCTATCTAACAGCATTGGTAATGTCTGCACCTGCACAAACATTTAGAGGCAGTGGGAATGATATCCGCTAAAAGTAGCACTCAGGAGGGCTTTGTGTACATGTGCGTGCGTGCGTGCGCGTGTGTGTGTGTGTTTTTTTTTTGTTTTTTGTTTTGTTTTTGTTTTTAAAAATAAAAGAAAAACCGAAATTATAATGTCAGCATGTTCCGCTTATATTCTAGTGGTAATCCACTCACTTGGTCACTGGTTTGATAACAAGCCAAGTCATGATAAACATTCTTTAAGCTCCCTACGATGTAACCCAAGCAATTATTGTTGATTACTCTTCTTATTTTGTATGAAATGTAATCCTGTTTTTGTCCATAAATGGAATTGTTAAGTTATTTTGTGTGACCTATGTAAAATGTTTAGTTATTTTTAATATATTCAAACACAACAACAATTAAAAAGTAGTCCATAGTTAGTATGCTTTGGATCTTTTATCTGGGAAACGTGTGTTTTGAAAAGAAGAGGCAGACAGATTGACTGGCTGTTGCCAACTGGGTAATGAACTGATGTACAAAATGCTAGGTGGTCAAGGCTCTGTGGAAGGGAAAGAACAGTGCAGAAGCATTAACAGATTATGGTGTTGATAGAATGGTTCAGTGGGAAGTGACCAGGGAATCTGGCTGACATTCTACACTTAGAGACTGGAAATCTGTGCTGGCTGCTGAAAATATGGATGGAGTTCTTATAGGAATGTCCTGAGTAATGTGATGTCATTTCTTAACTGACATGTGAGTGCCCATTAATGCTTACAAGTTTACTGATCATGCTAATTTAATAGCCTCAAGGGTTTCTCAACAAATGACACTTCTGAATGTAATGACCGACAATAATATTCCTGTGTTAGAACTTGAGGCATCTGAGTAAATGTCCTGCACACTTCACATGGTAAACTTCACAGCCAGTGACATGTGTGTGCTATACAGCAAGAACATACATCCAAACACACAACAAGGTGTTTATTTAGTCTTGGATTTTTTATGAAGTTCTTTACCTGTTGAAGACCAAATATAAAAATATATTCACATGGGTTAGAACCAGCATAATGGAAAATTAATTTAAAAAAAAAAAAAGGATTATTGTGTGCTAACTGAGCTACCACTAGCCAGCACACTACCAAGCGTCTAGCAGGTACACTTTCGCTTCCTCTCTTAGAAACAGAACTCGACGACAATGACTCCGTCATACATTTTGATCAACAGGTTACATGACATAACTACAGAGACGTAGCTATTGATCCCAATCGACATTCGCCCATAGTCCATTTAGTGTTCACTCGCTCTCTCACAACTTGTATCGGCCTATCACTGCCCCCCCCCCCCTTACAGCTCCAAAGGACTACAGCGTCCACAACTCTGTGCACGCCATACAGTGGAATAAGACGAATTCTCCTACCCACTGGACCTTAATATTATTTCAGCAGAAAACGACGGCTGACTGGAGACAGACTTCCCTTGCCGTACTCCAAAAGCACACAGCTCTCGTCAGCTTGTCGAATTGCTCCGATGACCAACAGGACTCCTACCATAAGTCCCCTCTAGCACATAGCTCTCGTCGGCATCAACCCTTGTTCTGTTTCACTAGTGGTCCTCCTACATTTCACTTCGTCGCCACCCAAAACAGGTACTATTGGAGCATCCCGTCCCCTTGGACTTACTTTGCCAGCAGGACCATTCCTTCGACCAGGACCACAACCCCAACACTTACTCAGACCTAAATGCCTGATAGTTGTACGGTACTCTTGTCTGTTATACTCGAGAGAGATAATCACTAACCCTGACTTGGTCTTTTTCTCTCTCCATCTTTCTCTCTCTCTTTTTTCGACTCTGACTGACTACTCAGCAACAATTTTTCCCCGTCAAACTCGTGTAGGTGGATGATGTTTACACGAGAGGCACGCTCGTGTGGGCGTTCTCGGGAATCATGATCCCGTGGGTGTTCTCGAGACTCAGCTCATGTGGGCGTTCTCGAGGACCACGCTTATGTGGGTGGCTGATGTTACCTGAGAATCACGCTGTCACTTAATTCACACTTTCTCTGTTTATCTCGTTAGCCATGCTTTCAGCCCCCACACCGTAACCCATGCGTCTACTTTCTCATGGCACTACACTTCTCACTGGTCAACATTCTCTCCTCTCACTACTCGGACCATGTTGACACTATTCCCCCGTGAACTCACAGAAAGTCCTTACATACCACTCTGTCCCTTCACACAATATTACACTCTACCAAATCAGCAGGCAACAATTATTTTCCTGCAGGCGTCAGCGCCATTTAAAAGCTTGAACAAAATATGGAACTCTAAATTGTATAGTTTTAAAACCAAGTTAAGTATTGTCAATTCTAATGTTGTTTTTAATTTTTTTAATTTTAACACATGCAAATTAAAGTTAAATGCATTTGAAAACAAATCTCTGAGGAAAATGATGAAAATTAAATCGGTGAATTTAAAAGGAGTGAAGAAATAGAAGAAATATCTGGGCTACCACAAATATCAACAGTTATAAGACAGGGAAGATGGTGCCACACTGGACACATCCTGAGAAGAAACCAACAGAGTATCACCAGACAAGCAATACAATAGGAAATAAAGGGGTTTAGAAGCAAGGACACTCAAAAGGATACCTAAGATTAATGTTGATGAGAGAGGCCAAAGCTGCTGGTTTGGATTCCATCCATGATATTGAACTGACTACATAGGATAGAAAGGAATAGTGGAATAGACTGCAAGCCCTAGGTGACATATAATGGCACAACAGAATCATGGATAAATGAATTTGCAGTGCCTTAGTGAAAACTGACTTAGTTTCCCAGGTCAGGTCAGCTCAGTCTACAAGTGGTACCAGGAAAAGTCAGTGTTATGCCAGCTTTCCTGACTGACTACATGCATCAACAGTGAACTGCAACTCTGTTGAAAGACAGTGTTGGCACATCTGATGGACCCGTTTGCATTTACTTTCCATGTGCAAGCTTCACGATTTTACTGGGACTGACATGTTAATCATTAGTTTTCAAGTGGAACATTATAGTGAGTTTTTAGTGATATCCAGTGGCACAAGAATGGAGCAGTCATGGGGTGGCCAGCCTGCAGTGAAGTTGTGACCTTGATTAATTATTTATCTCCCTGTCCTTCTCTTTTTTGTGACCCTTTGAAAATAAAGTTTGTTCGTTCGTTCGTTCGTTCGTTCTCTTTGTTCTATTGAAAGCTCAAGCTAAATCCAACACCTGTATTCATAGTTTCATGCTAGCCTATATGGGGCTTATGTTGTTTACCCCATCAATCATGTCTCCTCCTCCTTCCTGACTGAAGAAGCTAAGGATTGTTCGACAGAATTAAAATCCAAAAGACCACATTTTCTCATTTCTATTCACATGCATGAACACTCTCTTTCTCTGCTGACTAAAGGCTGGAGTTGAATTACTGTAAAACTAGTAGACCAACCAGGGTTTAAAACCTGTTACCTAACATCTGAGACTGGTATTCTAACCCCCTGGCCACCTCTATGATGCTACAACTAAATCACTGCATACATCGAATCCCACTTGACACGAAGATTAGACCATGGAATACTTACGCCACAAGAATGCAGTGATGGATTCTCCCAGGATGTAGATTGAGGCAAAGAACATGAAGCAAACAAATATAAACACCACCCTTTCGCTGGTCTGCAGTATTTGCAAGATGGGGTAAACCCAGAAATTGTCATAATAGGCGATGAACAAGATCCTGAATGTAAACAAGTAGAAACAGAATGTACAAGTTACGGTCTGCTGGTATAAAAAGTAGTCCCACAACAGATACCGGCACTGGGGTTTGAAGTGCTATGGCTGTCACTCTAGGCCATGAATATGTGGTAGGGTGAGCAGTTCCCTTTATCATTGCCTTTCCTTTTCGGAAACCCCCAGAAAATTATAGGAGATTTTAAAGGCTGAGACTGGTTCTAACTCAGCTGCAATAGCCAGAAAAACATCCTGTCTCACACAAATATTGATCAATTAATCAGGTGTCATCTTCAAACAGAAGAATGGCTGTAATGGATCTCCAACACACAATTTTTCAACCTTATAGACTGCTGTTCATTCATTTCTTGATGTGATCCACCCAATGGTACTGTTGTCTAGTTTTTACCTCCAACTTCCCCCTTCAGTAAGGCTTCTATTAGGGTTTTATCTCTTTCAATGCTGTAACAATATTTCATTTGTCTCTATTTTATTTCCTTCAGGAACTCTCTCCTCACTGCTTCTCTCCAGGACCTCTGTATATGACTTCGTCTGTGAAATATGGCTTATTCTTTGTCCACAGACTCAGTCTTAAATAGGTACTGGATAATTAATGGATTATTTCCAGAACTGTCTAGGAGTTGCCTGGGAAGGACAGATAATGAGGATTGGAACTGGCCACTAAATCTAATACATCATGGCATAAAATGAGTGAAGATCATGACTGTATCTGCTATGGGACTAACTTTACCTCTACAATATATTAAATAATAACAAAAAGTGTTAAGTAACGAGGACGGCAGAATACACAAATACACACTATAACAGGATATCAATCATTGGTTATCATCATAAATTTGCTACTAGTATTTACTTTAAGACACTTTAAGTTGTATGCCTTACACAGATGTTCCTATAAAATGTATACTTGTAAACTATAAAATGTTTACTTGTAAACTCCAGTGGAAAGTTCTGTTTGTTCAATCCTTTCTGGACTTTAGTCTTGTTCCAGAAATTGAGTTTTGTATGCATATCCCCTTTGCACAGCTAGCTTATCTGTATGAAAACTGCTGGTTCCTTGCCTTTTGGGCAGATGCATTCCAACTTTGAAAGAAACCTATAATTATTTGACTCTTACGACATGCTCTATAGTGAGGCAGTTGGACTTACTTTTTGCCCCGCCATAATGGGACCCCGGAACCCACAGGGTACACATATAGCAGCCACAGGTTAGCATGCTGAATTTGCTGACAATATGGACTTTAATTTACATTACAATGTATGCCCTACATAAGTCTACCAGTTCAATCAGGGGTCGGAAACCTTTTCTTTTCTGCCAAGCATCATTTAGATGTTTATAACATCATTTGTGGGCCACAGAAAGTTTGTAACTGTAAATTTGCTGCTATATTTGACTAAACATTTAACTGTGGTTCCCTTGCTAGGATCAGACCAAATGATTTTGGCTGGCTTTATTCTGTGAGTGTGCTAAATGTTCTCTACCTCTGGGTTGAAAAATCCATAAATGTCCAATCAGAACTGTCTAATTATGCGTTTACCGACCTTTTCAACATTTCAAAATGTTGAGATATATGATGTGTCCTCCAAGAAGGTGTCCTGCCCCAAAACATTTTCTGGTCTAAATCAATGACCTAATTGCTGAACTACCGCATGATATTAATGCTTCAATGTATGCTAAAGACCTCATACTTAGGTGGTGCACAAATATGCAACGATGGCCACCCAAGGATGCAATGGCTGCATGAGCTGATAAATGGTGTGTCAGAATCAACAAAGACAGGTGTAGCACCACCCTCTCCCCAAAAGAAAAAAGGGAGTTTTTATGACAAATGGAATAAAACTAAGAAAGGATAAGAGCCCACATACCTCACAGTCATGTCTGATGATATGTTAACATGCAGAAATCACATCAACAAGACAGCAGCCAAAGACAGAAGATAGTAATCCCAAGAAAACTAAGTGGAACAACATAGGCCGCTAGTGGGGAAAATAAGAAAGTTTCAAAAGTGGTAGACTAAATAATTAAATTATACAATCTATCCTGGCCTGTAGTATACCAAACAACACATCCTATGTCTGTGGCAGACAATTTCGTATATTCCAGCTGTGCAGTAGACAATACCACATATTCCATCAGTGCAGTTACCAATATCCTGTGTGTACAGTAGACTAGTTAACATATTCTATCTGTGTGGTAGACTAGTCAACGTATTCTATCTGTGTGGTAGACTAGTCAACGTATTCTATCTCTGTGGTAGGCTAGTCATCATATTCTATCTGTGTGGTAGACTAGTCATCATATTCTATCTGTGTGGTAGACTTGTCAACAGATTATATCTGTGTGGTAGACTAGTCAACGTATTCTATCTGTGTGGTAGACTAGTCAACGTATTCTATCTGTGTGGTAGACTAGTCAACGTATTCTATCTGTGTGGTAGGCTAGTCATCATATTCTATCTGCGTGGTAGACTAGTCATCATATTCTATCTGTGTGGTAGACTTGTCAACAGATTATATCTGTGTGGTAGACTAGTCAACGTATTCTATCTGTGTGGTAGACTAGTCATCATATTCTATCTGTGTGGTAGACTAGTCATCATATTCTATCTGTGTGGTAGGCTAGTCATCATATTCTATCTGTGTGGTAGACTGATCAACAGATTCTATCTGTGTGGTAGACTGTTCAACAGATTCTATCTGTGTGGTAGACTAGACATCATATTCTCTATGTGTGGTAGACTAGTCAACAGATTCTATCTGTGTGGTAGACTATTCATCATATTCTATCTGTGTGGTATACTAGTCATCATATTATATCTGTGTGGTAGACTAGTCAACAGATTCTATCTGTGTGGTAGACTAGTCAACATATTCTATCTGTGTTGTAGACTAGTCAACAGATTCTATCTGTGTGGTAGACTAGTCAACATATTCTATCTGTGTTGTAGACTAGTCAATATATTCTATCTGAGTGGTAGACTATTCAACATATTATATCTGTGTGGTAGACTAGTCAACATATTATATCTGTGTGGTAGACTAGTCATCATATTTTATCTATGTGGTAGATGTAATGGGGGATATTTTCGACCCAGTTTAGGATGGTTGGGGGGAAGGCCCAAAGCTGACCGAAAACACCGAGATAGTCCAGATACTTGGATTAAACGAGAATCTGGAGATAGGTGACTAACCACTAGTTATCACGGGGACCACGGTGATGCGACCCAAGGTCGCCACGGGAAAAGTAAAGGACCACCACGTGTTGTCACGTGAAAGGAACCCGTGGTATAAGTCAGACTTGACTCTGGTCAAGTTTAGTTTGTGTCGACCTGTTGGAGCGAGAGGACGAGCGTCTGAATGTGCGAATGTCTACGTGAGTGCCTGAGGAGAAAGGAGACCTGCCGACGAAATGTTAAGCTGAGATCGACCATGCCAGCGTGTGAGATGTCCAAACGTCAGTGTTGAATCCATGGGACCCATCGTTGCTTGAATGCCTGCAAAAGACTGTTCGTTAAAAGGCTGCGTGAGTTTGTGTACGAAAGCGGTTCAATTAGACATCGACTGGACGATCCTGTTTGTCGTAAGTTGTAATACGTCAATAAAGTAATTTCTCGTAAGCTCACATCGGTGTCGGCTTGTGCCAGGTGTGTAACGTGAAGCGTGTGAGAATATCATCCACCACACACGCATGAACACCGACTAGACAGCGAGAACCACATACAAACCATTCATTACAATTGGAGGCTTGAAAAACGGAGATAACCTGGCAACAGAACAGCAACGGCGAGATGATATCATGAGCTGCTACTTGCCACGCAGACGTTGAAGGGCCATTAGAAGTCAAACGACTGATATATAAGTGACGGAGTCTGCCTGAGAGAGCACAGCTTGTGAAGTCACCGAGTAAAAACATCAGTTGCACAGTGAAAGCCGAAAGTTTTGATAGTTTGGTCAACAGAGCAACGAAAAGTGATACCGGAGACTATCACGTACACGCAGATGAGGTTCCATTGAAAGTCTAAACGGAAAAATCGTGATAGACGGCCATGTAAGAGACGATATCTGGTGAAACGCATAGTTGCTGGAATCACCGAACAGTTGCGACAAAAATTTAACCTGTAACCGCCTGACGCTGGGTTATGTCGTCACGTGGGTGAAAGGTTAAAGGACACGTAGACTGCCCTGGGTTACGTGGCACTTTGCGTCGTTCTGCAAATTCATCAAGAAGCCTACGAGAAACAGATCAAATGGCTGTATGACATTTACGACGAAGAAGTTGTCCACTATGCGTCAACAATGACAGCGCGATACACAAGAAAGCCAAAAGCCACGAATAAATAAAAGGGCGAACAAAATATTTCACGATCAACGAGTCAACTGAGACTTCCGGGTCGCCATTCATCACAGCGTGGATTGAGAAATATCTATCAACAGCGCTGAGAAATTGCCGTTAACTAGCCGCCAAACTGGACAAAGCTAGCAGAAATTTCCTAATTTGCTACAACTGGCGAACTAGGTCACACAGCGAATTTGGGTCAGTGTGTGCAAGCGGAACTACAGGCGTGAGATTGTCAGCAAGGACAAAGTAAGGTAAACATTGATTAAATTCAGGAAAACTGTGTTTAGGTTAGATATTCAGGACATATCAGATGTAGTTGGAATTCGTAGTAATGTGTGATAATAAGCAGCAAGAAATATAACTATTATCGTGTGCCGTGCCGGAAAAAGTAACTTAATCCGATATATTTACAGTGCTTTTGTCAAGTGACGATTTTTCAAGTGTATTTAGACTATCGCAAGATTAATAGTGTTTCAAGTGACATATTTTCAAGTGTGCGTACAATTTGGCGTTATTAATACACCATTTCGGATTTACTTTAGAACCGACATCAATAGAACTAGAATTATTTATTAATTGAATTTATAGGTATTATGGGCGTACTTAATTGAATTTATTTCATTATATTGCAATAGTTTATTATTGTA